GTGGCGCAGTGGTTAAATGCAGCACTGCAGGCTACTTCAGCTGACTGCAGTTCTGCAGTTCGGCTGTTCAAATCTCACCGGCTCAGGGTTGACTCAGCCTTCCATCCTTCCGAGGTGGGTAAAATGAGGACCCGGTTTGTTGTTGGGGCCAATATGCTGACTCTGTAAACTGCTTAGAGAGGGCTGAAAGCCCTATGAAGTGGTATATAAGTCTAACTGCTATTGCTATTGCTATTGCTATAATGTCATGCATGTCATTAGCCGTTATCATACAAATTATGCAAATTATGTAATTTGATTTAATTTGAGCAGTGAGTTCATGATATGCATCATTCATCCCTTGCATCTGACTGTCAGGGTGTATTCCAAGCGTAAAAGATCTGTGGTTCAACCAGAGTCCTATTCATTTTAGTAAATTATCTAAACTAATAGAAAGGAATGTTTGTAGCTCAGGGTTGAACTGTGGGGTCCTTTTTGCTTTCTGAGCTTAGTTGTTTTCTTTCTCAAACAAAAGCAATAATTACAAGATTTTGAATTTCTGAAAGTAAATGTATCTTTAAAAATTAATCAGTGAACAGTTAGATTTCTTTTCAGCTGTCATTCATTTTGGAAAATTAGCTACATTGTTATTTTTGGTGTTCTTCTAAGTTTAGGTATTAGGGGAGAAGAATGAGATTGGATTCATCTCGAGCTGGTTCTCCTTGAGTTGTGGCAGGCTTCCAAATTCAAAGTCAATAGCAAATTCTGATGCATCAGGATTCTGATGACAGCATGGGTTATGTCCACTGTTAAGCACAGGCTAAAAGGTAGCATAATAGTGCATCTAGTTAGAGATCAAGGGGTTATCAATTAGCCAAGATAATTGTTTTATGAATGAAATGTTAGATGTACAATATTCTCCTGACCTAGTCTTACTAAGGCCTTTCTAGGAGCCATGCCTAAAATTCAACTTCTTCTAGAGCAGGAGTATCAAACTCGCCGCCTGTGGGCTGGTTGTGTCAAATACTGGTTCTGCCTCCACCCAGTTTAGCAAAGGGGGGAAAAGTCCCGATATGTCACATGGCGACGGCGTGATGACACAAGTTTGACACCCCTGTTCTAGATTATTTGAAACAAAGTTTGACATAAGTGTGGCGTGTGGGACTGCAATATTTTAGAAAACTGAAGTTTTTAATTGCCAAATTCATCTGAATGTGCTCATTGTTTTGAAGCTCATAGTTGATCAAAAAGTTCTTTGAGCAATACACTCTTTTTTAAAAAAAAATATTTTCTTTTAATCGGGGAAGTGTTATCTCCTAACTGTTTCCATAGGATTTCCCAAAGTTTCTCAGACAAAAAGTATCACATTACACAGTCCAGCTGAACTTGAACTAATGTGTAGTTTGGTCATCAGCAACAGCACAAACACGGCAAAAATGGACACTGTTTGGACCTCACAAAATGCAACTTTCAACCCGGAGACCATCAGGAGGAATGAAACTAGCTCCAAATGGTGCACTCGATATACGTAAGTGGCTTTTATGTTACATGCTGACATAGTTTAAAGTAGAGAGGAACAATCTTTTAGTAGGGAGGTTCACTCTAGGAGGGGCACCTGCAGTGGCTAAAAGACTGTCCTGTAGAACCACTTTATAAATCCTTAGTGAAACCACACCTGGAATATTGCATGTAGTTTTGGTCACCACATTATAAAAAAAATAAGTAAATGTTGTGACTTTGGAAAAAGTGCAGAAAAGAGCAACTAAGATGATTGGGGACTAAAGACTGGAGACAAAAACATATGAAAAACAGCAGGAATTGGGTATGGCAAGTCTGAAGAAAGGAAGGACTAGGGGTGACATGATAACAGTGTCCCAATATTTGCACGAGCCGCGGTGGCGCAGTGGTTTGAGTGCAGTATTGCAGGCTCCTTCTGCTGCCTGCTGGCTGCCTGCAATTTCACAGATCGCATCTCACCAGGCTCATGGTTGACTCAGCCTCCCATCCTTTGGAGGTGGATAAACTGAGGGCACAGATTGTTGGGGGGCAATAAAGTACTGTGAAGTGGTATATAAGTCTAACTGCTATTGCTAAGTGCTATTACTATTTGAGAGGCTGCCACAAAGAAGAGTGGGTCAATTTATTTTCCAAAACACCAGAAGGCAAGACAGGAAGCAGTGGATGGAAACTAATCAAGGAGAGAAGCAACCTGGAATTAAGGAGAAACTTCCTAACAGTGAGAACAATTAACCAATTAACAGCTTGCCTGAGGGCTCCATCACTGGAGATTTTTAAGAGAAATCTGGGCGTCCACTTGCCTGAAATAGCAATAGCAATAGCAGTTAGACTTATATACCACTTCATAGGGCTTTCAGCCCTCTCTAAGCGGTTTACAGAGTCAGCATATTGCCCCCAACAACAATTCGGGTTACTCATTTTACCCACCTCGGAAGGATGGAAGGCTGAGTCAACTCTGAGCCGGTGAGATTTGAACAGCAGAACTGCAGAACTGCAGTCAGCTGAAGTAGCCTGCAGTGCTGCATTTAACCACTGCGCCACCTCGGCTCTATGGTATAGGATCTCTGCTTGAGCAGGAGGTTGGACTAGAAGACGTCCAAAGTCCCTTCCAGCTCTATTCTGATGGAAAGAATTGCTCACAGTTGGATTTATTTATTTTCTGCTTGCTACATTAAAACTGGTAATTTGATAACTTTGGGAAGGTGCTTAGTACTTCAGCCAAGCATTTTAAGAACTGCAAGCAACTTGAGACTATAGGTTGAGGAGTTCATGTTTCTTTCTAATTACTTGACTGAGGCAGGAGGCTGATCATCCCAGAGAAGCCAAACACAATAAAGGGCTTGAAAGAAAAAAGAAAAAGAAAATATGGTTGGAGATATTGGGTTTATTGTGGAATGATGCCCTTCAAGTTCAGGCAGTTTCTGGATTAAGAATGTTCAACAGGTTGCCTTTTACTTAAAAAAAAATGGCAGAGGGCATTGTCCTTCCTTAAGCCAACAAGCCAGAGAGTGATTTATGAACTGTTGAAATTACACTTCTTAAATACACAACTTTCCAGTGGTTTTCAGAAGTGCAGAAAAACATTGCACGGTTTTTAGTGAGTCATCAGCTTGAGGAAAGAGAACACTATCCACCATTTTGAGTAACGGGGAGCCTATTTGTAAGAACAAGCTCAAACAAAACTGAGTTAAGAATGGAACTTGTACTTAACCCAGTAGCTGGCTTTATACGAAGAGCTGTTGCGTAGAGTTTGGAACAGAATTGTTCCACAAGAGAAGCCGAGCTGTGGGATGATTAAATTACAAGGGAAGAGATTTTGGATGGGGAGCAGGAAACATTTTCTAAAGAGCAGCATCCTTTCAATAATGGGATAGGCTGCCTTGGGTAGGGACCCAATCTTAATCTTGTTTGCTGGAAGTGTTTCAATAGAGGTAGGATGACCATTAGTTGGGGATACTATCGGTAGTTCTCGACTTACCATTCATTTAGTAACTGTTCGAAGTTCATTTCCGGCACTGAAAAAAGTGACTTATAATGGTTTTTCACACTTTGCCGCATCCCCAGGGTCACATGATCAAAATTTGGATGCTTGGCAACTGGCATGTATTTATGACGGTTGCAGTGTTCTTGGGTCCCTGTGATCTGTTTTTGCGACCTTTAGACAAGCAAAGTCAATAGGGAAGCCAGATCCACTTAACAGCCATTTACTTAACAACTGCAGTGATTCCCTTAATAAGTAGGGCAGTGTTTCTCAACCTTGGCTACTTGAAGATGTCTGGACTTCAACTCCCAGAATTCCCCAGCCAGCATTTGCAGAAGTCCAGACATCTTCAAGTGGCCAAGGTTGAGAAACACTGAACTAGGGGAAGAAAAGTTATTAAAAGTGGCAAAACTCACTTGTTTCATTTAGCAACTGAAATTTTGGGCTCAATTCTGGTCTTAAGTTGAGGACTACTTGCATAGTACTGAATTGCTGCAAGGGGCTGTGGTTGGATTAGAGCAGTGTCAAACTCAGTTTCATTGAGAGTGGCATCAGGGTTGTGTTTGACCTCAATGGGTGGGGCATGGCCAGGATGGGCGTGGCCTGCTTTATGTCACTCATGTTGGGGGCACCTGTGGTAGCCAAGTCCTAAGGTAGGACTTCCCTCAGACCCTCCCTCACTTTCATTATAACTTCCTCCCTTCCTCCCTCCTTCCTTCCTTCCTTTTCTTTTTCCTTTCCTCTTCCTTCTCTTTTCTTCTTCCTTCCCCTCTTTCTTATTTTTCCTTCCTTGCTCTCTTCCAATCTTTTTTTCTTTTTCTTTGTCTTTCCTTTTTCCCTTTCTCCTTTCCTGTCCTTTCTTGCATGTTCAAATGCAAAAGGGGAAACATTTCTCCTTCTGATTTGTTTTTAGTTTGTTTTGCTAGCCTTCTGTCATTGAAAACTGAGCTCGGGGGTGGGGGAGAGGTCAATTTTTGTTGGCAGAGTCACCATGGGCTAGTCTTTAGCTGTTTCCAGGGTGACCCCTTGGGCCAGATATAAGCACACTAGGCCTGGATCCTGCCCGCGGGCCTTGAGTTTGACACCCCTGGATTAGAGGATGACTGAGGTCCTTTCAATCGGTAAGGATCTGAACTGTGATGATCCATTTGGATATTCCTAATATTTCAGCTATTATAAATTCGTATCTGTTTCAACAAGCTGCTTGCATGTCACCATTTATCAATCTAGAACATTACTGTTATATATTTTCCAATTGCTGTTTTCATATTGTTTTTCTTCATAGCTCAATAGTGTTTATTACGTATCAATTGCTTAACTGTTTTTAAGGATAAAAGTCAGAAACGATGACCAGATGAGGAATTACACATGTGTTTATAAAACTACACCAGAAATAAAAGCTACATTTGTTTTACAAGGTAAGATCCAAGAATTTACCCTATAAAAACTCACTCTTCCCAAATCACACCTTTTATCAGGAAATCAGAGCATTCTCTCCCCCCCCCCCCCAGTGTTTTCTGCTCTGCCATATTAACACCCCAAAGGTGCTTTTTCCAAAAGGCAACTGGACTTTTTTTTTTAAAAAAAGTTTTTCCTTTGAAAACATTTTGCGCCTCCTCCAAGAAGCTTCTTTAGTTCTCCTGAAGCTTCATGAACTGAAGAAGCTTCTTGGGAGGAGAAAGAAAATGTTTTCAAAGGGGAAAAAATAGGAAAGACCAGTTGCCTTTTGAAAAAAGCACCTTTGGGATAACCATGACCTGGATGATTGAGAATCTCCCGAGACTGTCAGATAGGTAGTCCTCGACTTACAACAGTTCATTTAGTGACTGTTCAAAGTTAAAACAGCAGTGAAGATGTGACATATGACCATTTTTCCCAGTAAGGACCTTTTCAGCATCCCCATGATCAGGTGATAAAAATTCAGATGGTTGGCAATTGGTTCATATTTATGACCGTTGCTGTGTTCCAGGATCATGTGATCCTCTTTTATGACCTTCTGACAAGCAAAGTCAATGGAGAAGCCAGATTCACTTAACGACAGGGTTACTAACGTGTTCAGTCCCCCCTCCTTCGCTCGTTAACAGACGACAGGCAGACAAACTTAAAAGGAATTCACTTTATCAGTCCTCAGCTCAAACTGGCTGTGAGCCCAAAATAAACCTAAATAAAGTCTCTGCCTGAAGATAACGGAATGCAAAACAAATCTCTCTTATGGCAAAACAAGGTGTACAAAAAGAAAGCAAAGCACTTCTCCAAGTGTCTCTTCGAATCAGGGTTACAGAAAGCAAATCACTTCTCCAAGTGTCTCTCACAAATAAACCACGAGCTAGGATCAATGAACGAATGAATGAACGTTGACTCCTGCAACCAGGGCGTGGCACCATCCGTCCTTTTATCACCAGAAGACCCCACTAATGAGCCCCAGCTGCATTATTAATCTTGCATCCCGAAAAGACTCACAGGAGACTTCTGCTGAGTCACAACACTAACGTATTAAGTTCAATGATTTGCTTAACAACTAAGGCAAGAAAGGTCATAAAAATGGGGCAGAAAAACCTTAAGAAATCTCACTTAACAACAAGAATTTGGGGTTTAATGGTCATAAATCAAGGACTACCTGTATTGATGCTCTCCACCATCCCAAATAAAAATGAAAAGATGGAAAAAAAAACCTCAACAAACCACAGGAGTTCTCAATGCTGTCAACGTGTACATTTTTTTTAAAAAAGCTGGCAAAAAGTTGATTGTAATAAATATGAAGCAATGGCAAATCAAACTAAAATAAAATGATATTTTTCTTATTAACATGAAAGAGGAATTTTGCTATAAACCATCAAAATAATAAGTTCTTTTAAGACGTAATTTTAAAACACGTCAAGACTGGTTCCTTTAAATCTAATTTCTTTTCTTTTTGTTCTTCATTTTAAGACTATTTGTGCTTCTCAAATCTGCATGGAATGTCAGAGCAGTTTTTCTTGCGGCTGCCCCTTTTTATTGATAATACTGTATCATCTGCTGTAAAATGCTGAGGATGCAGTGTGCTGAATTATTGATATGACTAAATATAGAACGATGATGCAGATTAATGGAATATTAAATTCCATTAAATATTAATTATTCCTTGCCTTTTATAAGCAGCCACTTGCTACTGATTTTTAAAACTGAACAAATGCATTTTGAAGAATCACTGCTGGGGCTGAAAATGAATTCGCTTTCAGTGCGGAGAAAGATTATTCCACTTGTCTCTGTGCAAAATGATATTTTGTAGGATTAGAGTTTTTGCACTGTACAGTTTAAATGTGAGTCTAAGACCTAATCAAGCATCAGACTAGTGGTGGGATTCAAATTTTTTTTACTACTGGTCTGTGGGCGTGGCTTTGTGGGCGTGGCAGGGGAAGGTTACTGCAAAATCTCTATTCCCTCCCCACTCCTTGGGGAAGGTTACTGCAATCCCCATTCCCTCCCCACCCCACTAACCTGCTTTCCAGCTCCATTCTCCTGTTCAGGCAACAAAAGAAGATCAGCTGGGAGGCAGCGGGGGCGGAGCCAGCCTATTTGCCGGTTCTCCGAACTACCATATTTTTCAGAATATAAGACACCCCTTTTTCCCCTCAAAAAAAGAGGGTTAAAATTTGGGTGTGTCTTATACACTAAATACAGCNTAAGAGAAATATGAAGAAGCTTTTTATATGAACCTGGTGAGCATGATCTGTCTTCAGTGACGTTTGAAATAAATCTGGTAACTTTTTTTTAAAGCAGGTCCTTCTTCCACCATGGCAACTTCTAGTGAAGCCGAGAAGCTCCCTTTCTTGAATGAGACCATTATCATAGAGGGTATGTTTTTTTTAATCTTTAATTTGAATATTGACTGATAAGAGAGATGTATACTAACCTATATAATACTAAAGATTACAATTACGTTGTCATAACCTTTACCTGGGTGAAACCCTGCCTCAGAAGGGAACAATTTTTGAACTTAGGTACTCAAATGGGCTAACTTATAGAAAGTGTCCAAAATCTGGGGTCTATAGCCTGAGGGAATGAAATTTGGAAAAGTTGTGGGTACTTCAGTGCTACTGGCTGCAGTTGTGCTCTTGGGCTTCTGCTGTAGTCACATGATCTTCATTTTCAACTTTCTGTGACAGTTCCCCAGCCATTCTCACAATCTCTCTCTTCTTCCTTCACCCAACAGCAGGAGCCACGTACCTGCAAGGACTGAAGGGAGGGAGGGAAAAATAGGATGGAAGGAAGCCTTGTGCTTCCTTTCTGGCCTATACCATCTCTTCCATATACTCCCCCAATCTTGTCCATCTCAGGTGTCCCTCCCCTCACCTGCATTACCCATCCATGTGCTTGACCTGACCTATGCAGCACCTCCCATCCTACCTGACCTGCACTGCCCTCCCACTCACTCTTCCCAACTCATGTTGGACCTCCTTCATATTTCCACATACCATTCCTGACTCGCACCCCTTCGCTTCTTCCCTCATTTTGTCTATCCTGCAACAGCCAGTTTTCTCCTGCTGGCTACATCGTTGACTTCTTGCAAAGCAAAGTAAATGTGGAAGTTGGCAGGAATTCAAAGAAGGAGGGAGGGAGGTCTCTGATGCTCCCACAAGGCAACTGGGGAAGCCAGTAGGAAGCCTGAAGTCACCCCACTTCCATTGCTTTTTTTGTCTATCCTTTGTCCTTTTATTTCTTTGTATAGGTAAAGACATATCTCTGAAATGATGACCCAATGGGTCATAGGATGTCTAGTTATTATATTTTTGATTCAGTAAAATTGAGGTAATTTAATAAGAGTGCTTTATTCAATTTGTTTAACTAGCTAAAGCTTGGGCAGAAATTGATGAGGAAAAAACTGTTTCTATGTAAGGATAAGCATTTCATTCTGTAGGCTGTCAGTTGTTGTTTTTACACAAGAGGTTGTCAAATCAGCATGCAACATTCCATTTCATGGTTATAAGTTTAAATTTTGCCCACAAATGGAAGCTGTGTAATATAATCAGTTGCAAATAACCAGGAGCATATATGGAGTTCAAAGCACAGGAGAGTTTATCATTGCTATTACTAGTACAAGAATATAGTCAACTAATGATTAAAGGTAACTTGATGCTACATAAGGGTCAACAGAATTCATGAGGAGGCTGGACTTAGTAGGTCCCTTCTGGCAACGTAATAACTCTAAACTGATGACATATTTAACCCTGCCCTCCAGGTCAGCCAGTTCTTCTCCTACAATAGTGTGGCTACCAAAAAGTGGCAGCCCTTTTATTTTATATTAAATCTCCTGATCCAGATTTTGGACTGCAAAAATCCAGATAGCCACAAGATGACACCATGATTTAGAGTTTTCCTTATATTTGCTTCCACCTTGAGGTTATCTGGAATTCTGTCCTCCCATATGGAAACTGTATTCATAAGAACTTTAAGCTGCTTTGATTTTCTGAGTCAGTTCAATAATGCTCAGTATCTCTTTGTTAACTCTGTTAAGTTCCCCTTTTTTGTCAAGGCAGATTCAAAAGGAATTTCACTCTCCTGTTTCTCAGATTGAATATTTGTAAGCAAATTGCACAGGCCAAAAGGATGACCTGTATGGAAAATATCTGATTAATAGAAACTATTTTTCCTCTTTCCCTATAAAGAAAAGCCAAAGAGATTAGCAACAATCAAATTACAAAGAGTTAAAAAAGATTCACAAATAATAAAATTTTGCAAAACTAGTCAAGATTAATTGAATTGCCTCAGCCTCAAAAATGGCATCATAGGTCACATATTTTTATTGAAGGACTACAACTAAATGTTGTGTTTGCCCAAAAATAAGATCAGGTTTTATTTTCTTTTGGGCTCCAAAATAACCACTAGGGCTTATTTTCAGGGATGTCCCCCCCAATGTATGGGAGGCCCACTTCTGCTTGCTCATGATGAGGCAGGAGGCCGCGTGGCATGCTACTGCCACCATGAGGCAAAGGAGTTACCTCAGGGCTGCTACATCCAGGCTCCCCATGCCCCAAGACCTGCCTCGCCTTGGTAATCATGTAGCCAGGATAACTTATTTTTAGGGAGAAGATTTACCATATTTTCTGGAGTATAAATGCAGTCCCCCTCAAAAAAGTGGGTGGAAATGTGTGTGTGTCTTATACCGAGAATATTGCCAAAGCTCCACCCACCCGCTGACCCCTACCCACCAGCCCCCACCCACCAGCCTTTGCCTCCCAGCAATTTGCCTCCTTGCAGCAAACAGCATGGTCAGCTTCAGCACAGCCTGATTTAACATGAGCAGTTGATTGGCAATTGGATTGGCCTCCTGGAATACTTACTATCAGCTGTTCCAGGCTGCGAGGATCGCTGCTGCCCATTGCCGCTGCCCATCGCCGCCTCCAAACAGATCCCATTTTCAGCCTCCATGTGCCCCATT